AGGCAGCTGTCAGCGGTGGGGCTTCGTTCGGTTCCTTCTAATTCCCGACATTTCAACCCCAGTCTAAAGCCAATGGAATAATTTCTGTGAACAGCTTTAACCTTTCTGGCTTTGTGTTTTGGGGTTTTTTGTTTGTTTTTCTCGTTCTGTTTCTGCCACAGTTGAATTTCCAGCAGTCCTGTTGAACACTTCCACGGGAGAGATTGAATCTGAATTCCACACCTATGTCCAGCCCCAGGAGCACCCTATTCTCTCTGAATTTTGTAGAGAGCTAACTGGCATAACACAGGTACAACTGCTATTTACTGTTTTGTTTAAAGAGGCCCTTAAAGGGCTAAAACGAAATAAACCTCAAATTAACTTCAGTGCATACTAACACATAGATATTTGTTCTGTTTCATGAAGAATCAGGTTGATGAAGGGGTCCCTCTAAACATTTGTTTATCACAGTTTTGGAAATGGATTCAAAAGATACAAAAGGAGAAGAAAATTATATTCAGTACAGATATTCTAAATAATCCTACTTCAGAAGCAAAAGCGTGTACCTTTGTTACTTGGACAGGTAAAGGAAATTCTCATTTGCTTTTTCTGCAGAGTAAAACATAAAAAAATTAACATTTGGTGGTGCTAGTGAGATTGCACCTTCACTTCTAGGGAGCCACAATCCTGTTACCAGGTATTGAAGATGTGCAATATTGGGATAAGACTGAAAATACGAAATCCATTGAATCCTGATGTGTTCGCGACATCTTTGTCTCAAGGGTCTGCCATCGTTACATTTTCCTGTTTTACATATAGTGAACTGTGTCACCATTCTTAATGTGTCTAAGGGGTTTAATGAGGTTTTTGAGATCTCTACCCATCTGAAGTCATTCTTTACTAACAACAGACATTCCCTTACCCTCATGTCCCATTGCAGCAACCCTAGTGCTTTACATGTAACAAAGACTTCATCAGCCTGGGCTTCCTGTCCAGCGGGACAGGACGCTTCTAGTATGTTGGTGTTACGTCCCTTTTACATAGATTTTAAGCCATGCTTATGTAGATTTTAGGCCAGTTCTTTAGTGATGGATTATTTATGGGTTTTTTCTGTGCAGACTGGGACCTGGGTGTGTGTTTGCAGTATGAATGTAAAAGGAAGCAGCTGCGAAAACCTGACATTTTAAATTCCTGGATTGATCTCAAAGCAACATACAGGGTGAGCTCAACAGACCCTGTAACATTTATACCCATATTATCATCTCAAAGGCTAACGGTAGCTGAGGGTACAAGCCAATATTGATGTTCCACTGACGAGAGTAACCCGTTTATTTTCTTCCCATGTTGTTATCACTCAATAACAAACTGCATGCCCTAGAACTGTGTGAATTTTAATAGAAATCTTAATGCTCGGAAAACAACCTGGCATTATTGTTAGATAAATGAACGATAATACTAGGAAAATTTTTCAAGCTGCTCTTCCTTTCCTGGCATCTTTTGCTCTGCTTTCTTCCTAACTTCCCCCATTTTGTGTACTCTTATTGCTGCCTTACGTTGCTGTGTAGAAGATAGCCATCATCATCTGTTGAGAGGTACTTAAAGGTCTACAGTGTAAACTGCACTTAGATAAGGAAGTGTATTCTGAATAGCATGAATAATGCTGAAAAAATGAATGCATATTTTATTGCATATTCTACACTGCAACAGTATTCTAACTGGGGGGCTAAGGGCACCTAGGAGTGCCTTTCCCTGTGTAGTCAAGGAAACTTTCAAAGAGTGATCCAGGAGTCTACCTGTCTTGATGCTTGGAGCTTAGGCTCTTAACGTAGGTAGCAGAATTAGTTCTCTAAAGATAAACAGTGTGACTATTACCCCTTTTTTGTGATCAAATGAGATACGTGGAGTGACTAGCAATACTATTTTTTTCTCATTTAACAATAATTTATACTTACGCCAAATCTATTAATGCCTTTGCAATATGCAACAGTTTAAACATCTCAAGATATTATTTATAGTTGTATTATTCTTCAATGCTGCTCTGTTGAGGCTTTCATCAATGTAAGCCAGAAAAGGCAAATGAATGACTCTGGAGCTAAGACAGAATGGATTAGTTTAACGCTGAGAGAAGGGATTCATGGTTATATCCTACTTCCTACATACCACATCATTTCCCTGGAAGCCCAAGTTTCCTCCAACTTCTATTAGGTATTGCCCAATCCAGCATTTCACAAAGATTACACTTATTTTTGCAATATCTTAATGAGAAGTAGCAGCATTTTCTACACAGGGTAACTTCTTTTCTTATTCTCCCTAGTACAGAGGATTTTAAATCTCCACTAAATTTGAGAAGCTTCATCTTCTCCCCAAATAGCTACAAGTTTTTTAGGACATACAGAGACATGAAACTGCTTTTCAGAAATGGCCCAGCACTTTCAGTAAATGTTCTAAACTGAGTTTGTTTATTTAAAACAGCTGGCCTGGAATACTGTCAACTGACTAGTCTAAACAGCAGTATTTTAAGCAATTAAAGCATGGTCTAGAGCAAAGGAAAGACTTAAGGTGAGCTGGTAAAAGAACTTAACCATGCTTGTATGGAGATCAACACCAATCAAAGCAATCGGTATGCAGCCTACTTTTTATGAGCTCATTGCTATTCCTATGAAGGGAGGTGGTCTTATGCTTATTTATCCCCACTGTAAAATGAAGATACCTGACTTGCACAATTGCCTTGTGAGATTTACTGTTCATAAGGTGATATTTCTGAAATGGTTTTCATTTCACTGTGAAGAGGTTTTGAAATGCTTTATGTTAAGCACCTGCGTTTTTTTCCTTAGGCCTTCTATAACAGGAAGCCTAAAGGGCTAAGTGGTGCTTTGCAGGATTTGGGGATAGCTTTTGCAGGACGGGAACATTCTGGTACGTATGATAGGATGAGCCTCATTTTTATATATATATATTTTTTATAAAGCTAAATAGCTACTATTTAGCTTTAGTTAGCTAAACTGAAGCAGCTAGTAATAGCTAGTCATTACTCTAAATAGTAACCATTGTTTCCAGGTTCTGTCCAACCAAAACAGCAAAACAAGAAAGGCTAGATGCTTCAAAGATCAGAGTTTGTTACTTTTAACCTCATGCTTTATTTCTGAAATATCTTCTAGTGCTATTGAGTGCATGTTCAGCAAGATCAGTTTCTGAATTGCTAAGGTGCAAAAGAAAAGAGGTGGAGGAACGATAAGGAAACTCGATTTTACCTGATAGCTCTGGAATAGCATATTAGTGTAAGAGAATACCAGCACAATGTGATTTTTTCTTTTTTACATGATTAATAGAACAAGGAATTTTTTAAATTGTGGCTATATATTCAGCTCTGTGATTGGTCCTTCAGATGTTTCAGCACAGGGAATTTTTTGGAATTTTTTACTTCCACTTCTCTTTTTTGAACTAGATAACTGTGTCACAGTTCTGTAAATCCCTGTCATTTACGTAAGGCTTACTTAGATTACATTTTTCCTCTAATATCCCCAATAGTAGTTTAAAAATAAGACATTAATATAACCATACTTTTGAAGGGTTGGATGATTCTCGGAATACTGCCCGTCTTGCTTGGAGGCTGATTTGTGATGGATGTGTGCTGAAGGTTACTAAATCTTTGGATAAGGTTAGTAACTACTTCCTATCTTCCTTTCTACTTGCTTTGTAGCTTGGAATACAGATGAAAGGTGAGCTATTCAAATAATAAACCCAGCATCTTGACTATGAACTGAACAGAACATCCCTAGGCTGATATGCTTTTTAATTTTGTGCATTAATTCCTAAAACTTCTGGGTATTCACTTTCCAAAAATCTCCTTTTGTTTACGGACTCCCTAGGCATATCTGAAAAATAATTTAATTTCCAGAACACTGACTACAGACTTCACTGACAAGACTCCACTGGCAAGTACCAGCAGACCTGAAACATCTAGCAATGGCACTTGTGAAACAGACTCTCTGGCTGAGAAAAAACAGACTGGTATTGCTGGATTTAAGATAAATTCTAATGTACAAACTGAAGAACAACAGACCACTTGCACTGATTCCTCTGCAGACATCCGTGTTGTACCTAGCAGCAGCTCAAGGACTGAGTTACATGCTCAAGCCCAAAGCTCTTCAACAGGATCTAGCAACAGATTTCTGGTTCCTCTTGGGCAGGCACAGCGATCTCCCAGGACTGTAACAACAGGCATTCAGCAAGGACTGAGCAATGGGCAACCTCTGAGAGCCCGATATAGCCCTCCAGGACACAGATCAAGATTAGTGCTTGTCTCCACTACCATCTCCTCAGTTAGTATCTCCAACGAGGATATCAGTACCAGTTCTGATTGCTTATCGCTGCTGACGGACTGGGAGGATGTCGCTTTAATACCAGAATCTCAATGTGAACAAAATTCAGACTCTGTTCAATTCAAAGATAACTCAAGTACAGAAATTTTAACAGCATTTGAAGAGAAAACCATTTCCAAACAATCGTCTATGATGAGTTCAGATAATCAGAGTTTGGAGAAAACTGTAGTACCTGTGGAAGCTCTGAAATCTGTCGTTTACAAAAGTCCTGATACTACTATCTATAATGTAGGAACAGTACAAAGGCAGACTTCAAATTTTTCAGCTTTTAAGTTACCATCTGCAAAGGTAAATGCTATTTCAGCACAATCAACATTAAATGAAAATTATTCTGCTCCTTCGGAGGTTCCTAAAAGAAAGCCAAGTAGTCCAAAAACATTCCCACCAGCAAAAAAACAGTCTTTTGCTATATATCAAGAAAAAACACCATCTTTTGATCATTCCTTACCTTTAAGAAGTTCAAATTTGCCCAGAGTGTCTCCTGCCATTCTGAACTCCACAGTCAATTTGAATCAGTCTGTAAGAGTTGTGAAAAACAGAAAACCAACACCCCCTCTGTGTAACTGCGGTCGAAGAGCTAAAAAACTGTATGTGTCAAATGCTGGTCCAAATCATGGCAAAGCGTTTTTTTGTTGTCCTGTTGGCAAGCACGAAGGTAATAAGAAAGGTTGTGGATACTTCAAGTGGGAACATGCATTTCTGAAAGAGAAATCTGATCGTCTCACCCTGAATGCAGATGCTTTGACCTCTCTTGGAACTTACACCAGTAATTCAGGAAATTCTTCCAGCAAAAAGTATTTATGTCTTAGACCCTCTATGAGAACTTGAAAATAGATTTATTTTTTTTCGTCTAAATCTTAAAGTCAGTGTAATAAGTCAGTGTCTTAAAGTCAGTAATTTGATCATGCTTAATATAATCAGAACAGTCAAATTATGTCACATGTATGTTCTGAGAATGGGACAGAAATGACACTGCTTGGTTAACATAGATAGAAATGTAAATTGCTCAAGCATACAAAAATATCAATATATCATAAAGTATCTTGTTAATGAAGTGTGAGAGAATGGATGAAATTGTTAAGTGCTAAAATTAAAGTATGAGCAGTTGTTGCTACAAATCTTAAATTTCTGCTTTATCATGTATTTTAAATTCTTTACTAGTCCAGTTCTTAAAGAACATTTTAATGACACAGATTTTATGTACGTTTTTTTTCTAAATATGCTTGTAATGATTATAACTAAATTTCAAAGATGTATTTAGAAGTTGTCACACTTCTCAAATGTGATTCATGAAGCAAGTGTTCTTAAACACTTACTGTTTTTTATCATTTAAATGAAATAACAATAAAGATAAAATACTGGTGACAGTTCATTAAATAGTTTATTTAACACCCATCACCTATTGCGCTCTTGACTGCATGAGTTTCCATTTCATTTATATCAGTCTGCCTGCTTTTGTACTATTAGTTATTAGTGCAGTAGCTGGGACAGCCAAACGCTGGGAATCAGGTAAGAATTTATTCAGAAGGACAAGAATTTATTTAAGAAGGACATAGTATAATGTCTTTTACTCTACATTACTGTGTAAATCTGCAGTATCTTACTTTGAAAAAAATCCTGTAAAAAAGCAACAAAGTACTTCTAATCTTTTCTCCACTCCTTCTGGCGCAGTTCATTTCTTCTGATCTTCCCACTAATGGTTTTTGGCAACTGTTGAACAAACTCCATCTATTGGGAAAGGGAGGAAATTACAATACAAAATAAGATAAGTTTATGTAAATTCTTACTTTTTCTTAACCTCAGTGGCATAGGCTTGTAACCCACATCACAGTTCACTCCCACTGTGTGGTGGTGAAAATTATTGGGGTATTTGAGCACTCACCTTCCTAGGATACTTGTATGGAGCAGTAACTTTCTTAACATGGTCTTGTAGCTCTTTCATCATTTTTTCCGGATCATGTGAAGCATATTCAGATGTTAAAACAACAAAGGCTTTCACTACCTAAAGACGTTACACCAGCAATGGTTTAAATGCCAATGAAGCAGTACAGTATTACACAACAGTAAGATTTGAAATTTTAACCAAATATTTGCTGACAAATTGCAGAGTAATGTATAGGGCAGGTACAGAAAGCTTTGCCAAAGTCTGTGGGTGCTCACTATTGGTCTGGACTGTGCAGGCAGTTTGTATACACTTAATAAAGATGAAAATCTGTAAGTATTTGAATGACAGGGAAAGCTTCAAATGGTGCTTTTGTTATATTGGATTTGGGGCAATTGCCTTGGTCAATTTTTTCCTCTGTGGGTTCTCCAGTGTCTGCTAGAGTAGAAATGCTGACTTGAATTTATTTAGTTTTAATTAAAAAAAAAATGAAATCCCTTGACAGACAAATCCCTGGGAAGTTGGGGTTTATTAACTCTGGTATGTACAAAGCTACTTAAATATATCAGCTTGTTTAACTTGTTTACCTCTCCTCTGATGGGGTCTGGACTGCTGACAACTGCTGATTCCACCACTGCAGGATGCTCCACTAGGGCACTTTCTACTTCAAATGGTCCAATACGGTATCTTTAAAATGGAGGAAAGGGCTTTTAGTTGTATTTGATAACACAGAAACATAACTTCACATCTGAATCATCTGTGTTCAGGTTTAATGTTTTATTGTTAATTAGGCTTAAATTACCCAGCAGAATTAATGACATCATCGGCTCTTCCAACAAACCAGAAGTACCCATCCTCATCCATAATCCCCCTGTCTCCAGTCACATAGAAGTCCCCACGTATTGTTGCCTCTGTTTTCTCTGGATCATCCTAAGAAATATTAAATTGCATTTTACATGAAAACTACCTTAAAAATACATGAAATTGCATTCTAACATATCTAGCATATAACTTATGGTGCAGTTAAGTATATAAAAAAAATTCAGCTTTTCAGGCTGGTCGGTGCTGTGGTCATGTGCGTCACATTCAAGTGGGACATTAATAACAGAATTATTAATTCACCATTTCTAAGGTATAAAACTAGACATAAAATTCATAAATTACAATAAATGTGACTGACTTAAAATTTTAATCATATTATGCCCCATGGCTTTAGAAACCCCTGAAGGTTTCAAAAATACATGGGCTTATGGAACTGAGAATCTGCTTTTAGGTGATTATCCTTTAATGATTTTTTCCTTTGTATTTCTAGCATCTCTTATCCTGAGATTTTTTTTTTTTCACCCCCCAGAAAAGTTTTGGCTCAGCACAATTAAAAAAAGGTCTTTCTACAACAAATGCAGCTGACGTCTGCAAGAATTTTTCTAGGCGGTATGCACAGTGTTCCTTTCCCGCATGCTCAGTACTGCTCAGAAGACCTGATTATAGGCTGATACTACCCATAAAATTTAATGAGGTTTCCTGGCAGAACTGAAAGCCCTATGCTTTGTTCTACTGGTGTTGGACCGAAAATTCTAACCCAATGTGGAAAAAATGAAAAATTTCACCATGCATTAAATGCTCCTTGAAGCTCGAATGGGGAGGGAAGGGATTTGAACAGTGTCCTACTTCTCAGATGGGGCTCTAGTCCTTAGGCCAAAGAGTATTTTTGGATTAGGGGGGTCCATCAAACATTTCCCTTTATATTAAGGAAATAACAATCAAAAGAAAGTGGATTTTAACTTTCTAGGCAGGACAATCTCATCAAACGTAATAGTTTGTATAAGTAGACCAAGCATTTGCAGGAAAAAAATGGAAATCTCTCTTCTCCACAGGTTTCCAGACCAGTAAGCAGAGTATATGTGAATGAAATGGGACATCAGATTCCTTGTGACAGAGATTTAACAGGATATCTACTTTAACTGTAGAAATATTCTTACAGCATAGCAAATAAAAAGAAAAAGTGATCTCGCAGGTTTTACTCTGATGGCAATGTCTCCTTCTTTTCCAGGAGGCAGAATATTACTGTTTTCATCTATAATCTAAAAAGAAACAAAACACAGTTTTATTATCCTAGAGCCAAATTAAAAAGCATTAAGTTAGGATTATAGAATGTCAGTGTGCATTTGAAATACATAATCAAGGTATTTTTTTTATCGGGAAATGATTTGGAGCAGTGGGGGTCTTACTCTGACAACTGAAGGCTAAGATTGTTACTAATCCCCTGCACTTTGCACTATGTCTTTTATCTGAGGAATGCCAAGTACTATGCAAACATTTAACGAAGTTAATAAGACCCCAGGGAGGATCGTAAGTAATGGGGTGGGAAAACTTAAGAACTGAAAGAAAGATACAAAAAATCTTAACCTGTATTGGAAATGGATCTGGTGCTAGAATCTGCTTCAGCAGTTTTGTTATCACCAGGAAATAACATCACTCCCACTCTTCCTTAACTCAGCAATTGAATTTCTGGCATTGCCTTAATGTTCGGTATCTGTCAGTTAGCAGTGGGTTGTCATCTGTGTTGGTGAGGATGGTGCAACAGAGAAGTCCAACGGTTTCTTCTGCATGCTCAGTTTAGGGCAGTAACATGCATCTCTTCACTGTTTCATTGACTGCTGAATGACGGTACACGGTACAGCTCTGTGTTAGAGCTTTCAAACCTCTTTAACGGAAAGTGATTATGCAAGAGAGAAAGACTGAGTCACCAGAGGTACAATACCTTGACATCATACCCTGGCGACGGCTTTCCCATAGACCCAGGTTTTATTTTCATTCCCTTAAAATTTCCACAGATCAGCACCTGTAACAAATGTTGGGTTTGGGTTTTGATTGGTTTTTTTTTTTTTCCCAATTCAGCTGTTGTTTGCATATTCAATCTTTAGCTTAGATTTAAAATACTCAGCTAATATAATGTATTTCTATAAGAAATACTAATTGTCTTCACTATAATCGTATATGCAGGGGTTAAACTTCTAGAAATAAACCATGCCCTCATAATCATGCCCACAGGTTCAAATAATGCAAATGCTTTAAAGACAGATTTTAAAGCAGAATTTGGAATGCAGTAATGAGGAATATACACCTTTTGTGTTAGTTCCCAATCCAAAGCCCACAGGAATAAAAAAACATGAAGCTGTTACGATTGCTCTATGACTTACAAAACCTACATTTTCCAGTGCTGTTTATTGCAATTCACTTTTCCCCTAAAAGTCATACCTGCATATAATGATTTTAATTACTTTTTCTTGGCAACTTGAATAGAATTTACTGCTCTATCTGTAAAGCATACACTTCTACATTTATAAAGCAGAACATACTGTTTCGGTCTGTCCATAGCCTTCATGAATTTCCAGCCCAGTCTGCGCTTTCCATTCTTCCATCACGTCAGGGTTTATCGGCTCCCCAGCACTCACACAGTGCCGCAGGCTTTTGAATGTATAGCTTAGAGGGAAAGA